TGTTATGGTCTGACCGCCGCGGCGCTTCTTGCAACCTTTCCCGGAACGTGCAAAGAGAGCATGTAAAGGTAGTCGATAGGCAGGCATACGCAATACGTGACCGAGGCGGTGTATAGGTATTACGTCCGTTAGAGAACGACTATCCGCACCCAACACACAATGACGACCTTTATCATTACTCAGCAATATAGATAACTGAGCCTTCTTTATGCCAATTTTCCCCGTTCTTTCGGTACGAATAGCTGATACCGGGGAACAGTACAATGCTCAAATCAGTCCTTGTGAGATTTACAGACAAATAAACAAGGTGTCTATAGTGTAGCAAAAAGGCGAGACTTAACAGATTTTTGAGAAAGTAATAGGAATTATGCTTTATAACTGAAGGCTCTTTATAGGGCTAATCGATGAATTAGTGTTCAACTACCAGTAAAACACTAAAAAGCAATTTATGTTCAGCCTTAGAAGCAGATCGATGAATAAAACGAGCATTTGCATCGAGTAATTTATCACAATACAACGGGCCAAAACGCATAAACGACCTAATTTGCTACACCTATTAACGTTTGATCGTACATTCAACTTTGTGAACAAGTTTCATTATATAACATAGGAATAACAATCCAGTTCGACCAAGCCTACTCTGCAAAATAAATTTCTCACTCAAACGAGGAAGATTACATTAACTGGCTCGATCACATTATGTACGTAATAAAAGTCACATTGAACGAGAACTGTAACGCTTAGTGAACACTGTACATTCACAGGGGAATAACGGCTTGCTGATGTTTACAAAACTTGTTCAATGACAGTGCAATATGGTGTGAAGCTGAATATGGTCAGTAATAATGTTTACTTTAAAAGTTACACAGTGGATCGCAGCGATTTTAAGATGGCACAACTTGACATACAATCAAATTCAGGCTGGAATTCGACGATCTACGGTGTTTAAATAGTGACGGATATTTTTTCAAACCATATAGCTGCAATGTTAAAACACGTCACGTTTAGCTCCATGATTTTCACTATCTCCACTATCTTCAAAGTGTCCTCATATGAGCCGGCAAAAGCATGGAGTGGCAATAAAGCACACTTATCCACAGAAAGCCATACTCAACAATGATGAAATGAAAATCTAAAGGCTGGGTTCAACTGCTCCCTTCGACATTACACCGTTCAACCTACACCTAGAATGGAAAGATACTCCCACGTTGATGCCATTCCTCCATTTGAAATGAAGCTTTCTCGGTCACTTAGTAATTTTAAACCTATGAGGCTTCCAACCAGATTGGACTGCTCCCATCGGCTTTTAAGGATGGAGGCTCAGTCTTAGTCTTAGAGTTGATAAAACCCATGGAAGAAAGAACAGGTTCCAAATGAATGCTGTGAGTCGGTCACATGACCTATTAACTATAAAAATTGCAAAGCTTCTTGGGAAAAATACAGAGAAACCAGTTGGTTCAACATTATCTATAAACCTCTGGATGTTATTATACTCCATTGATTGTTTGCTGCACATGTGCATGAAGGGTGCACAAATGGGAACCAGGCTGCTTTTGGATCTGATCGAGGTTCTACAGATCACGTTTTCAGCGACATTCATTTCGTAGACCTCTATAGCTGAAGTGGTTTGGGATGTGTTACCGGTGTCATCAAATAGGTTGCTACGGCGTACAATGTTTTCCGGGTGAGGTGGTGGGTGGAAAAACGTCAAGACCACTCCAACTAAAACCTGACGTGACAGCATAAAACGCAGGAGACCTGCTCACATAGGTTGCCTGAGGCTTTCTGAATGTAAACTCGGGATTACTGTAATCAATGGTTAGAGACACTGAGTGATACGGCTGAGTTTTGTGCACAGTGGCGCCCGAATGAACTCTCAATTTCTTCGCGACCTTAGACTACCCGAGTTATTCATTTTTTCTTCGGCACCCTCCAATCTTCTTCCCTCCATTTCATGCCAACTGACAGCCAAAAGACAGCAACGAAAACTGCAGCGCTAAAGTTGTTCAAATTTAAACTGAAACTCGATAGTTACGGTTGGTCTCTACCTAAAATAGACAAGTCATTCAAGGTCCGTTTCTGTACTGAGCGTTATCGGTGACTTGCTTTGTGAATGAGGCTGTTATTTTGAAAAGCTAAGGTTTTGTGAAAGATAAAACCCCAACCATCCGTTACATTTCAGACTAGACAGATATATTCGAAATACTTCCCTAGTAAGGGGTTCGAAATCCCAGTTGATAGCAAAACTTTAAAAGTATGATTTTTGCCGTTCGCTATTGATAATTTTGAAGACCTCACATTAATGCAAACGATGCACACGTAGCATCAACTTCTACCCAACTGTTGTTTTATTCGTCAATGGCTCGTATTTTATCGGAAAGTGCATAGTTAAAGAACATTGGTTGTTGTTGTGGCCTACAAATGACTGATTCGCTTGCCATACATGGCTGTGGTCAGATTGATTGATTGATTGATTGATTGATTGATTGATTGATTGATTGATTGATCAAATAACTGATTGTTTGAATGCTGGCTTGATGGTATTCATATGTAGTGCAGCGTGTAAGCCGGAGTGTGCCTGCCTGCCTATCTTTCTTCCTTCTTACAAGTTGTCCGCTCCTACTTTTTCCCTGGTTTGTGAACCGGCTACATATTTGCTGTTTACAGTAAACTTACTACCTAATTCGTTGTGTGCTCCTTTATCTACTTAATTTGGGACACAACAGTTGTGTTATTTTTATGGCTTTATCAATGTCCCTAATAACAATACATCCATATCCATCGAATGTAATGAGTCAATTTATTGATTTCAAGGTTTAAAGATCATACTCTTTGTTCGCATTTCCAATAGGTCAAAATAAACACAGGGGAAGTGTGGAGATGTGTATTTCGACAACAAAAGTAATACGCCAACGGTCGCTACACGTGCTTCAAAGAAATAACCAAATCAATTAACTCTTCGTGGACAACCTATTGGAAGATAAACCACCAACTTACCGTGTTTATTGAACTGTTTTCTTGTATCACGAATTTGTAAATGGTTTTTGGAGTTATGAATATTTGCAGAGGTGGGACGAATATTGATGGTTTCGCTCTGTATCAATGTAAGAAAGTAATAGTTTGTATGCTACAGGATAAAAATGTTCACAAAAACGAAGTATGTTTTGAAAACGCATAACAAATAATATAATTGATTGTTGGTATTTTGTCAATTCAGGGGATACAAGCTCCTCTTTTGTACAACAAATTTATGCAAAAAAGGCCGACAGCTAGGTGTGGCAAATGTAGACCGACAGTTTTGCATGTTTGATAGTTGTCGCATTCTGTTATTCGGCTGTCCGCATTTAGCCCTGTTATGCATGATATGAACCCCCAGTTAAGTGAAGCATTTAGCCCTAGTTTCCCCATTTTTCTAGCATACATTGCACCGAGAACATAACCTCCCCCGTTGCTTTTTCTGTTCACGTTATCTCCGTTGTTATAGTTTGGCCTCTACATTTTAATTAAAACAACCATATGATCTGTGGGTCAGTATGGAGCATTCGGGGAACTATCAGATCCTGTTGACGACTACAAATGGACACTTCTAGGATTGTCAAATAAAAACCTCATGTACTCGGCACAGCAACGTACTCTGCACAACTGTTAATTTGATCGAATTCGAGTGCGCATGACATGAAAACCCTAGACTGGATGTTGGACTGTGAGACTACGTCTGAATATCTTCTACGGGTACAGTACACCTCGTACACCTCGTAAGGCACGCAATTCGGTTCAGATAACTGACAACAGGTAACTAACCTGCTACACCGACAAGAAGCGACATACTAACCTGTTTCTTTTCTTTTTGCCTACACTTTCAGATTACAAGAACAAACGAATTAAAAACAGAAAATTCCGAACATCAGACTTTACCGTATAGATCAAGAAACAGGCAAAACTACAAGCCAACGAGCTTTCTCCGCCCGTAAACTGGACATTGGGTACCTAATAAAACATTTTACCAAGTTTACTCTTCAACTGTTTTGATTCCTTAAAACCAAACGTCTTCCAGTGTTTTTAATTTATATCTCAAAATCATGAATCATATATCGAATTACAGCGGTTATCAGAAGACTAACTCACAGAATTCGTTCTGTAGCGGAAGACTTCACTTGAAACCGGATGAGAAGGAAATTGAATCCCGCGCTGTCGGAGACTCGTGTATACTTTTTCAAGATCCCTTCTTCCAGGAACATCCCATCCGCAGTCCACCCATGTCTGAAAGCTTGTAAATCATCAAACAGTATGTACCTTAATCATTGATAAAACCTTAGTTTGCATTTGTTGAGATGGTTCATTCTTCGGAGAAAGCAATTTGAGAAAATCATGTAGAAACTCCTTCGAAGCAATTTGAGAATGGAACCTTCTTCCGCAATTCTTAATGCAGGCTTCTAAGAGGATTAACGTATACCATATTGCAACATGATCTTTTCCAGCAGATGAAGTTATTCTCTTCCGAATAGCTCTGACTGCTTCTTTTGGTCTGGATTTCGTTAAAACATCTGAATTTGACTCACCCTTCGTCAGTCTCATTGATAGTGTCACATATTTCCAATATCAGTGACCAATCCTCCGAAGTTTGACCACTGTCAGTAGCCCTCTCTGAAATTTCTGCATGATAATGGTAAATCGTTGTGAACCTGTTAGAATCCCAACAGTTGTAGAATACGGATGAGGGTTGAAAAGATTTTGCATTTATGACAAGCCGATAGGTTATTGCACCGCAGGAAGACAAATTTGGCGGTGTTACCTAAAGTTCATTAAAGTTTTGAAGGTCAAAGACAAGTTACTTCAGTTCAGTTCAGTTCAGTTTGCACAGGACAGGAAATGGATACGGTTGATCAAGCGTCCAGAGTTCTTTCGGTGTTAGGCACAGATCCGGCACACACCACTGTATCGAGTAATCCGTCAGTTCTCCTCCTCAAAGAGAGACGTTCAGGTACGTGAGCGTTCAACAGGTCTTGAAGTCTTCAAGTGACTTTCGGGTTCGAGGCTGGTGCCCATTGGTCTCGGATCCTTACAGGATCCTTACAGGTGCCCTAATGGAAGAGCAAAGTCACTGTTCAACCCAGAAACTACTTCTTTCCATCTTCGATCTAGGGCTAGTTTGATGGTTTGAACCGAAGGTAGTTCAGATCAGATTCCAGGACTTGCGACTTGAGCCAACGAGAGTCCAGTTTCTTGCTCTAGTGGGCGTGAATGTCCCCCCGTGCTTCAACCGTTCGGTATTCCAGTACTTTAGTTCACCAGGGGTGGGTTGCTGGTTCACGGACTGCGGAGTACAATATCGGTATTCCTTCTGGAATAAGCAGTCGACTCACGATTAGACAAGGATAATTGCCTACATCTAGCACTGTTACGCACTGTTAGGCAAGCACCTTCTATCAGCAGACAATAGAGTAAAATTAAGACGAAGGGAGCAGAAGGATAAGGTTAAAATAGTGGTTCGATAATAGTACTAAAACTATTAATAATGATAGAGAAGGCGAGGTAGCCTCTAGAAAGAAGGGGGTACGTAAGGTGGAAGCAAGGTCACAGAACTAGATAAGGTCGGGAAACATGGCAATCCAGCTCTTGTCTAGCCTGGCCTTGAACTGCACTACAGTCCGGGCTGAAACTACCTTCGCTGCAGTCTGTTCCATGCGTTTACTACTCTATGGGAGAAGAAGTTCGGCCTAATGCACTTCTGACCTCACTTTCAATCCGTTGCCCCTGAGGGAAGGATTGTTATGTGTTAGGGATGGGGACTCCTATACTGGTGATTCCTATCAGGAGCTTGAAGGTCTCTATGAGATCCCGCCTCAATATTCTCGTTCTGAGGGAAAAAGCCTCTCCAGTCTCTGGGCGTACGTAAACCTTTGGAGACCTGGGAGAAAATTGGTGAACCTCCTTTGTATCCTCTCAAGAATGTTCATGTCTCCAAACTTAGGACTCCATATTGGATTCGGACTCCATATTCTAAGTGAGGGCGAACGAACGCCTTGTGCTGGGGCAGCAGGACTATCGGGTCCCTCGATGCAACAGTACGTCGCATCTGGAACAAAGCTCTTCGAGCCTTCCCGGCAGCCTCAGCACATTATGGTGACGGCTTGAAGAACTGGTGCATAAGCACCCCTAGATCCTTCATTGTCTCTGTGTGCTGAATTGCCAGGGGGTTATCCGGATTCAGGTAGTAAACTACAGGAAAACCTTCGGACACTAAGTGCCTGCACTTGCTAGCATTTAGTGATAGACCCCAGACTACGGGCCATTTGAAGAGGGTGTCTAAGTCCTGCTGGATGACATCCCCGGTTGGCCTACCTGCTATATTAGCATCACCGACTGTAGCCCCTGGGCTAGATCGTTATTAAATATTACGAACAGCGAAGGCCCAAGTACCGATCCCTGCGGTACCCCACTACAGGCCAAGGCGGACGTAGATCGGGACTTTTCTACTTTCACGTAGACGTTCCGCCCAATTAAGTATTCTCCTATCCAATCCACCACCACAGGAGCAACTCGCAGGTTCCTTAACTTGAGTAAAAGTAGCCAATGGTTGACCGAGTCAAATGCCTTCTTGAAATTCAGATAGCAAACTTCAACAGGGTTACCACGGTCTAGTCTGGCAGTGACCTCGTCAAGGAAGGACAGCAAATTCGTCAGGCAAGACTTGCCTTTGACCAACCCGTGCTGCTGCTGTGCTACCAAACGGTGCTGAGTTAGATGGCTCACAATGGCATTCCTTATACACTTCCCCATAACCTTCAGTAAGATACACAGGAGACTTACTGGACGGTAATTCCCGGGTATTTCCCTTCGTCCGGCTTTGTATACTCAACTTCGTTGACTCAACTTCGTGGCACATGCAAACCAGGTGCCTGTGACCACTTCCTAAACAGAATCTATATCAGTACACCGATTCAGCTTCAAAGCTGTATCTGTGGAACACATTCCATCTTGGCTTCGGAAAAATATTTTATTATTATTATGATCATTAATTTGCCCATTGACTTGTGACAGGCTGTCTCTTCCCTTATCCCTTCTCAGCTGGGTGTTACCCCAGACTGTTCAGTACGACTCTCTTATTCCAGATTCGGTTGGCTTGGACCTGTCGAAGGCTTGAAGTTTAAACCCACAATGAAAATTTCTGACCCTGGCAGTGGATGCTGGGCATAGCTGTTTCGACGGATCTTTCTGCATGCGTCCACATCCAGGCAAACGTTTTGAACTCGTTGTACTCCTTCCTATTTATTCATTTCCTTGTGACTCCATTTTCCTCGTCTTTTCTCCGACATTTTGCCTCTCCGTATCTTCTCCCATTAGAGCTGCACGCCGAATCCCGTCGATAACGGGTTATCAGTGACTTCAATTCCGATTGATTTGCTTATACTGCACATTTATCTATCCTCCACACCATCGTTTGTGACCTTGTCCGCTCTGTGTTCCGTTTACACAGCGTTTTCGTTTCGCTCCCATACCATCTCCAGTATGTATGTCTCCCAAGTAGTTTATCCATTTACCTGTTCTGTCGTTGTACATATGATTATATTGAACATATGATCATGCCTTGTGCATGCTTCACGGGTTTCGTGAAATATACATTATTATTATTATTATTATTATTATTATTATTATTATTATAACCTCAGCCTTTTTCCATTTGTTACGGATAACGGCCTGGTCTAGGCTACGGTTAAAGGGCGCCGCAACTGATGGTGCCAGGATGTCTGCAAGGGGTTGGATGATGGCCGGGTGTGGCCCGTCGGGTCCAGCCGCCTTGTGCTTGTTTAGGCTTCTGAGTTCCGTGGATACCTCAAAATTGATAATATATATTTGAAGCATTTCCTGTACGAGGCATGGAGGTAGAGTGTCCGGTTGGTGGCAGTCATGTTCTACGTAAAGTGACTTGAAATATTTTAGTAAGCCTTCGGCCTTTTCATAAGCGGTCGTTGCAAGTGTGCCTGGGGAGAGTTCAGTACTACCTACTGACTCTCTAAGTTTGCCCTTAGCCTGCACGTCGTTGAAGCAGGCTTTAGGACATGCCTTAGCACGTTGTGCTAGCGACACTTTGTATCCAGTTCGATGTTGTTTTTGTAGCCTGGTGGCATCATCCCTGGCTTTCCTGTAACCCAAGTATCTCCTGTGCCCCTGGTTAGCCTGAAATAGTTTCCAGGCCCTATGTTTCCGAACTTGGGCCCTAACCAAAGCTCTCCTCCACCATGGGGGCTGTCCCTTCTTCGTATCTTATTCAATGGGGCGAATTCCTCCGTCAGTTGGGTCAGGTTTGATCTAACCTTGTGCCAAAGAGCTTCCACTGAGAGGCCCGCCACCTCCCAGTTTAGAGTCCTCGTGTGATCTTGAAGAGACGGCACGTCCAACCTCTTGAAGTTTCTCCGCCACTTGTCAGGCGGCTTTGCAGCGTTAAGTGGCGCTTTGAATGGCAAAGAGTCGTGGTCACTTTTCCCTAGAGGGGCGACTACTTGGAGGCCCTCGACGTCACCCGGGAACTTGGTGATTATCAGATCCAATGTACTCGGTCTGTGCCCCACGCGCAATCGAGTGGGTTGGCTCACATGCTGGATCAAGCTCTTTTCTTCAACTAATTGCATTAACTTGTCCCCAAATGTCCCTTCTGGTGATACCCCCATGGCCCAGTCGACTTCCGGGGAATTGAAGTCCCCTACTACAAGCACCCTGTCGTTCTTTGTAACCACTCCTTGCAAATATTGTAAGATTTGAGCACTTTCACCCTCCTCCGCCGATGGGCTGCGATAGATACATACTATCTTGAGTTTATCTCCACCAGTAGTAACGTTTGCTGAGACAGCCTGAATGCAATCCACGTTGAATATCTCCCCTTGTAGTTGCGACAGGTGTGAGGCCACTAGGAGCATGATTCTCCCACCGTTTATTACTCCTCTCCTGTTCTATTAGCTCTTCTGGCAGTCGGTTCCATAGGTTTACTACTCGATTACCGAAGAAGTGTGATCTTGCTACTAGTTCAGTTTAGTTCAGTTCAGTTTGCACAGGACAGAAGATGACTGCGGCCAATCGAGCGTCCAGAATTCCTTCAGTGGTGTGCGGCCAAATATGGCACTCGCCATTGCGAACGTAGACCGTAACTTCCTGGCTGGAAAGGGGAAGAAAGGGAAATATATGTCATCTCACCACAAAGGCGAGATATTGTTA